TAATTTGATCCATTACGAGCCGGATTCAGCAACCTATGCCCCCCCCCCTCCTCCTCACCGCCTATAAGTATTTGAAGCCAATCGTGTGGCCAAAATAAATTCTAGCTCACCTCCACTTACGTGGAGACACGTACCCACGGACCTCAACCCAGCCGATTGTGCTAGTAGAGGAATGTCAGCTTCAGCCCTTTCTACTCACCACCTCTGGTGGTCCCCTTCGTGGCTCAAGGATGCTCCCGAGGCCTGGCCCAAGATGCCTCCAGCCCTAGGCCACCATGCTTTACCAGGTCTCAAACCTAAGCACGTACCATCCCTGATAACAGTTCCTGGTATAGATATAAACTCGGTTCCAAAAATAACGGGTCAGTCACATAAACCCGAATATCTCCCGAACTACGTATGCCATCCTAATGAAACGAAGACTGTTCAATTGAGAATTTAATTACAGTCAAACCTGGATAAGTGAGAACTGGATAAGTGAGAAAACTCTATAAGTGAGAGTAATAGCCAGGACCCATCATTTTAAGCTCCCAAAACCTCTATTAGCGAGAAACAGAAACCTCTGTAAGAGAGAGTCGTTTTTCCCTCATAGACCTCCGTAAGTGAGACTACTACTTATCTATACCTCTATAAGCGACAGTCGAGCTTTATTTACAAATTTATCATGTGCTATTTTATGACTCATTCTTAACTTTCGTGGAACTTCCTACCATTGTTTTTGTATTCTCGTCAATATATTTACTACATTCGTACTTGCTGTGACTTGTTATTGCTGCGTACCTCTATAAGAGAGAAACGCTACCCATGTACCGGCATTAGCGAGAAACTCGGGTTAGTGAGAAACCTCTATAAGCGAGAATGAGATTGTGCTCCCTTGAACTCTCGCTTATCCAGGTTTGACTGTATACAGATAAAAAATAAAATAAAACTTAAATCTAAACTCTCTAATTCTTAACTTATCTCTAAATTAAAAAAAAAACTAAAGTAGTCATTTTTTTCTTAAGATTACATTTTTTTATGATTGTTTTTTTTTTGCTGTTTTTCATCACTTTCTTCATTTAATACTTTGTATTGCCTCCACGAGCTCTTCTGATAGCTTCCAGGCGATTAGGCATGCTGTACACTAAATTTCGGAGCCGGTGCTGAGGAATACCTTCCCATTCCTCCACCAGTGCTTGTTTGAGCTCGGGAAGCGTGATTGGTGGGGGGTTTCGACCTTTCAGGCATCTCTGAAGCTCGTCCCAGGCGTGCTCGATGGGGTTTAAGTCCGGGCTTCGCGCTGGCCACTGCATGAGTTCGATACCGACCTCTTCAAGGTAGTCATGTACAATTCTGGCGGTATGGGGACGCGCATTATCATGCATTAATATGCCATGCCGGTCCATCCTGGCCATGAAAGGACCTACATGTTCATTGAGGATCTCTTCCACGTACCTCTCTGCATTTAGAGTTCCATTTTGAATGAGTACCAGCTCGGTGCGGGCCTCAGTAGAAATCCCAGCCCAAACTTGTACGGAGCCTCCACCGTACGCCACTTTTTCCTCCACACACACACACGCTTGATGGAAGCGCTCCCCTGGTCTTCTGCACACCAACTGCCTACCATCATGCTTATAAAGCATGAATTTAGACTCGTCCGTGAACATTACCCTAGACCAATCGTCTAGTATCCAGTTTAGGTGCTCGCGCACGTATCTCTGTCTTGCAATTCGATGTCCCCGTTCCAGTTTGGGGCCATTTGCTGGCCTCAATGGTTTCAAATTTGCTTCAGCAAGACGTCTTCTTAGTGTTTGAGAGCTTAAATTGCCACCTCCAAAGCAAATAAAGTGAGTTTTTAGACCAACAGCAGTTTGAAAATGATTTCGGAGCATTGTAGCCACCAGTTGTCTGTCTTCCCTGGCCGTTGTGTATCTTGGTCTGCCATTTCCTGGTCTTCTAAGGTGTGATCCGGTCTCTTGGTACCGCTGGACTACCCGCTGAACAGTCGACAAAGATACACCAATGTTTGTGGCTGTTTCACGCTGGCTCCGCCCAAGTTCCAAAAAAGTTAGGATTCTGGTACATTCCTCTAGCGTGACTGCCATGCTTCACCTCACAGAATAATAATTATGCACGTGGAAGACGTTCACGATATTTTTTTTTGTGACAGAATAGAAATGGAAAGCATGCATAATGAAATGAAACAAAAATTTTGTTTTAAAAATAGTCATTTTTTTTAATTTTGTTTTTCTAATGAAGTTTTTTTCATCAACCAGTTTAAATAATATGCTATTAGAAGCGCAACTAAAAAGTATTTATTCTGTTTTTCATTTCATTGATCTAACTTTTACAGTTCTGGAGGTATTTCAATTTTTGTGACTGACCCGTAATTTTTGGAACCGAGTGTAGGTCTGCTCACTCGCTTCAGCGCTCTCGACAAGCTAGTTGGTGTAACTGCTTGTATCAGACGCTTCATCTCAAATTGTAGGCTCAATCCAGATGCACGCCGTTCCGGTGTCCTGTCAACCCATGAACGAAAGGAGGCTCTTTTGTTCTGGATCCGCTCTGTCTATAATGAGTTCTCTGAAGACATCCACCGCATTAAAACTAACAAATTGTGCTCAACTAGGATTAATCGTCTCACGCCCTTCTTAAAGGACAACCTACTGAGAGTTGGTGGTCGACTCTCTAACGCTTCACTCACATACTCTGCTCAACACCCCCTCATTCTACCCAGCTCTAGTCCCCTCACAGACCTCATCATCGACCACTACCACAGAATACACTGCCACCCTGGCGCCGACACACTACATTCTATCCTGCGTCAGCAATTCTGGATACTATCAGCTCGTAAGGTTATTAGACACCACGTATTTAAGGGTATCAGATGCTTTAGATGTCGCGCTCAGCCTCAGGCCCCAATCATGGCTAATCTTCCGCCAGATAGGGTAACACCTCAACCCGTGTTTAGCCAAGTCACCACAGATTTTGCGGTTCCGTTCCTAGTTAGGTCCAGCACACTGCGAAATGCGAAGCTACTAAAAGCGTACTTTTGCATATTTGTATGTCTCTCAACAAGGGCGGTTCACTTAGAGCCGGTCTCAGCACTCACCACGGAGGCCTTTTTTGCTGCCCTACAACGATTTGTCTCGCGTCATGGCGCTCTGTCCCTTATCCGCTCAGATTGTGATACGAATTATGTAGGCGCTAGGAACCACCTTATTGAAGTTCAGCGCTTTCTCGCAACGAATAACGATGCAATTACCCACAAACTTGCTCGTCAGCACATAACCTGGTTACTTAACGTCCCTAAGGGACCCTGGTTCGGCGCATTACACGAAATCAACGTAAAGTCAGCGAAGCAACTGCTATACCGCGTAATTGGTTAGCAACGCTTCACTTTTGAAGAGTTCTCAACCCTCCTAGCTCGAATTGAGGCTGTACTTAATTCTCGGCCCATCTGCCCAATGTCCTCCGACCCCTCAGATTTTGAACCCTTGACAGCCGGCCACTTTCTCATAGGCCGGCCTCTCACTGCTCTCCCCGAAGAGCCCCTAGAGGACAAACCATTGTCTTCTCTTAGACGTTTTCAGCTCATAAAAGCTCTCTCTCAGCCCTTTTGAACTTTATGGACCAACTCCTACCTTCATACCCTCCAAACCCGATCCAAATGGCTCTCCCAATCCTCCGCTCCGCGAGTTGGTGAACTGTTGCTAATCAAGGAGGACAACCTACCACCCCTCCAGTGGAGACTGGGAAGAATTATCCGCACCATACCGGGGAAGGATGGAGTGGTTCGAGTAGTGGACCTGGATACGGCCACTGGACATCTGCGGAGGCCTGTGTTCAAGATTGCCAGGCTCCCTTTGGACCCTGCTCAAGATGATGGGTCTGTCCCGGCCCCCCCAGGATGTTCGCGCCAGTAATGGACGCGACGCAGTTCCTGAACGTAACGCGGCTGTCAAGAGTGACAGTCGTAATACTGTTATATGTCAATGGAATAGCTGCAACTTTCTCCCTAACGCGTGATCAACATAGCGTAATACTAGACTTTAAATTCGTGCCGGCAACCAACTAATTAAGTTTAGTTGTGTATGTCCCGTTACAAACTATAAACAGTGGCCCGTGAGTGAAAATAAACTCATTGAAATAAGTTACCAGACAATTAGTGACCACGCGGTTTCAACAAGCCTTTACCTCCAACAACAACCCAGCAGCGTCACCCGCAGCGCAGCACCAGTAAGTACACCAACGATTCACATCCTATACTAGGACCTCAAATATATATTCCATACCCTATTCTTTCCCTTTAGTCAGCCCACCTTATCTATGTATCGCCAAGCGGCCGATACAACCATCATATGTTTTGATTTTTTCTGTTAGTACACATTTTTTTATGTCCATATAAGAGTGTTATTGTGCAACCTTTATTTGAAATAAATTTATTATTATTATTATTAATTTATTTGCCATAAATAATGATATGAAATAATTAATATTTTACAAATTTACATTTAATATAATATTAATAAATCATAATACATAATTGAGCAGGTGAAACTCTAGTGTTCTTTTTTCCCCAAATGACACTGATAGCTACGTCACACAAGCACTTGAGCAATAAGCATGCGGCACTTAATCGTAAAGTAACTAACAACGTATATTCATCTCCCTCTAACAAGTGTTAACCCGTATGGTGGAGTTTATTTTCTTTCTTTTTCTTCAGACGAGTAAGTGGCTACTTAAGCCTGGTTTACACTTTGATTAGTGCGAGTGCAGGTGATTAGTGCAGGTGCTTAGTGTCTAGGTGTGGACAGCGACTGATTAGTGCAAGTGATTAGTTGGCTGTGTAGTAAAGTGAATAGAAGCGTGTTCTATTTTTTTGCGAGTGGACTGCGCGAGTAGCCACGTCCCACGCGCCCTCTCTTCCCCCTCACTCGCAGCGTACCTGCCACTAAACACGTCTGGACAGGAGTGTTTAGCGTTTAGTGTGTGGCGTCGGACGCTTGTTGTTGTACAAAATGGTAAAGTGGACCGAAGACACAACCTATAAATTTGTGCAGGAGTATATAAAACATGAATGCCTTTACAACTGTAAAGCCCCTAGGTACAAAATTAAGGGAGCCCGAGATACGGCCCTTGTACGTATAAGTGAAGCTATGAACATACCAGGGTTTGGAAGTAAAGAAGTTTATACTAAAATAAGAAACTTGAAGTCTACATATGCGCAAGAGGCTAAGAAAATTAAACAGAGTACAAAATCTGGAGCTGGAACAGATGACGTATATATTCCACAAATAAAGTGGTTCAAACTATTAGATGACGCTTTAAACGATGTAAATATACAGTGCCGCGACTCAGGGAGTAATATGGTAATTAAAAATAATTATTTATTTTATATTCTTTATTACACATGACTACATAATAACACATAACCACATTACATTGAAATAAAACCACGTTTTACTTCAATTTATCATTCGAGACTGTCAAGAGACTGCCTGCACCTTCTCCTACAAAATAATTAGCATAATTGTTGCGTTTGTTTTGTGCAATTTGAGATGATCTATTCTGCACGCTCATAGTCAATGGAACAAGTCCATCTGATGTCACTTCTCTCCAGGATCCTTCAATCGAATTTCCATTCTCGGTGTCCTCGATATCAACCGTGGCGACCTGTACTTTGGTTTTTCTCGCCCAGTTATGCATGGCGCAACAGGCTTTTACGATTTTTTTCACCTTGTTGTTGTTTCCACCTTTCGAAAATTCTGTATCGACTTACTAAGATGCCAAAAGCATTTTCGATGATTCGTCTTGCCCGTGATAATCTATAATTAAAAATTTTTGGTTCAAATGTCAATTGGTTTCCACCATATGGTTTCATCATACATGGTTTTAGAGGAAACGCATTATCGGTCACTAGAACATGACTTTCGGGCAGTAAATTATTTTCCAAGATCACAATGAGAGAAAACTCTACCATCCGATACACGCCCGTTACATCCAACATCAATATATGAAAAACAGTAGTCATCATCTGCCACTGCCATGAGAACAAAGCTGTTAAAATCGGGACATGGCACTGTAGCCTTTTAGAGCGATTCAAATTTACGCGCGCTTTGTTCACTGCAGTCGGCCATCTTGATACGCCTGTCAACAAACGTTGAGTGACATACATGCGTGCTGGTCGATATTAATTCAAAACAAAGTTTTAAAGCAGTTTGGATATAATATTCGACATACATTATATGTGTACTCTAACTTCGTATGTCAAAGTAAGTGGAATTTGTTTTTTTACCATAGATTAAGTATATATTCAGGTTAAAAAAGCATCACCATTATTTTTAATACATCTTGTTTTTAGGTTATTTGAGTAGTTTGTTATTGTTAGATCCGTTTGGGGCAAAACCGTACGGGTCAAACCGGGTAGTACCCGGTTTTGTACAACGATGGTTTGTCATGTCAGAATAAATGTTTCTTCCTTTGTTTAATGTTATTTTGTATGATTAATTGTTTCAGTTCACTACAAAATGCCGCGAAATTATAAAAGAACGACAAACAGACAAACGTGGACTGAAGAATCCATAAGATATGCTATTTTAAATGTAATAGAGGGAAGATGTGGATATCGCGTTGCTCCTCGAACATTTTCAATACCACAATCGATCCTGGAAGATAGAGTAAAAAAATACCGACAGCATAACAATGTCGATGATGCTTCAAAAAAAAGCTTAGGTCGCTTTAAGACAGTTTTTACAGCTGAACAAGAAAGTTTAATGTGCCAGCACATAAAGGATCTTGAAGCTCAATTATTCGGACTAACATACAGGGATTTTCGACATCTTACTTTTCAAATAGCGGAAAAAAACGGTATAGCCCACAATTTTAACAAAAACACTGAACTAGCTGGAATGGATTGGCTTTATGGATTTTTACGTCGTCATCCAGAGTTATCTTTGCGCCTACCAGAGCCTACTTCTGTAGCGCGTGCAATGGGTTTCAACAGAGTAAATGTTTCAAAATTTTTCTCACTGTTGGTTGAATTGCAAGACAAATACAAATTTGGGCCAACCAAGATCTTCAATGTTGACGAAACTGGGATCACGACTGTGCCAAAAAAAATATCAAAAGTCCTTTCAGTAAAAGGCAAGAAACAAGTAGGCCTTATTTCTTCTGCTGAAAGGGGCAAATTGACTACAGCAGTTTTGTGTGTATCAGCTGCAGGTGCATATGTTCCACCACTTTTAATTTTTCCAAGAGTTCGTATGAAGGCTGAATTCTTAGATGGGGCACCTCCTGGAACTATAGCAATATGCCATCCCAGTGGATGGATACAAAGTGATATATTTGTTCACTGGCTAAGTCACTTTATTGCAAACGTCAAACCTACTAAAAATGACCCTGTGCTTCTCTTGCTTCATGGATACGCAACACACACTAAAAATCTTCCTTTGATAGACAAGGCTCGAGAGAACGGAGTATTCATAGTCAGTTTTCCTCCCCACTGCACCCATCGTCTTCAACCACTTGATGTTAGCGTCATGGGCCCATTAAGCACCTACTACAGTCAAGAAGTTATGACATGGCTTCGTAACAACCCAGGTCGAATTGTTACCCAGTTTCAACTTGGCAAGCTATTTGGGATAGAGTACTCTAAAGCAGCTACTCTTCATAATGCTATGAGTGGTTTTTCAAAAACTGGAATATGGCCACTCGACCCAAATATCTTCTCAGACCATGATTTTGTATCAGCTACTACAACGGACAATGACATTACATCTACTAAGCCTACGACGATCTCTTTTAATGAAGTTATGGTGGAAACTCAGGACAATGACACTGTTAATAGCTCAAAGGGAAATGACAATTCTGCACTTACAGTACAGCTTCAAACAGCTCATGCGTCACCAATAATTCCACAGCCAATCACTCCGGAGCGAACAGCAATTAGTCCACAACCAAGCACTTCAATTCAATCAACATCGTCTTGTTTATCTTTTTCTCCCGCTGATATTTTACCGAAGCCTCGTGTTGCAAGAAAAACCACTTCAAATCCTCGTCGAGGCAAAAGTGCTATTATTACTTCATCACCTTATAAGACAGAACTCGAAGAAAGTAATGCCAAAAAACAGGTTAAGAAAAAGGTGCCGAAACCAAGTGGTGGCATTTCTAATACCAAAAAGAAAAAGATTTCAGACGATATGTGTATTTATTGCACTGAAATATATGGTAATACGCGAAGAAGTGATGCTTGGGTGCAATGTCTTCAGTGTAAGGGATGGGCCCATGAAGGCTGTAATGGTTGGGAACTCGAAGATCTTGATGAGTTCCAATGCGTCCGTTGTTGATCCGGGGCAAAGTCGGGTATAAGATGGGGATATACCTGGTTTTGGACCATACATTGGGCAAAACCGTGAAACCTTAACTTTTAAAATGCCATTATTTTATAATACTTAGAATAACTAAAACAGTGATCTCGTTGACCAAATGCATAATTAATAGAGTAAACTAAACGAATGCTATTAAAGTTGATTTATATTTCGAAACCCCTATTTTTATTAAATATATCCCTTAACGTCCCGACTTTAACCCTCTTTTCCCTAATAACTTCCTGCATTTGGTGGAGCTTTGACGGTAACGTGTTTCCCACCTATAGCACCTGAGCAACCAGGGAAACTCCAGGTATTTCTGAAGCCTTTTTCGATCCTTTTCCATTTGTCGCCGTTAGGTAAAACAAAAAAAAGTTAAGGAACAGACACTAGTTTCTTTGATAGTAGTGAAATGGGAATATTATTTCTGACTTTAAGAGTTGGTTTACTATATGTTTTTCTGTTTGCTTTGGGTTTTTGTTAATCTAAATTTATTGTTTTGCAGCAGCTGGATTCTCAACATGAACAACTTGATGGAGAGGAACTTTCCACATCCCAACGCAATCAATCTGCTGTAATAAATAACCCCGACGCAACACCTGAATCTCAACCTAATCAAGATGAAGAAGAACAAAGAAAATCGCCGATTCCTCGTAAAAGGACAGTACGGGACCTCAGTCGTTTGGTCAATAAAGTGAAGAACGTGGCCGACTCAATTAACACACGCATGCCAACAGAAACAAAAACAGAAACAGAGTTCGATATATTCGGGAAAAGTGTTGCTGCCCAGCTTAAAAGTTTGCCAATCCACAAAGCAGTAGAAGGACAGATGTTTATTCAAAATTACCTGAGTAATTTACGTCTCCAAAAAATGGGCCACGAAACATCTAACTACGTATATAGCCCTTCTCCAACTTCTATGTACCAGTCTTCACCATCACTACCACCACGAGACTCTCCTTACACACAACCACCACGACACTCTCCTTACACACCAACACCACGACACTCTCCTTACACACAAACACCACGACACTCTCCTTACAAACAACCAACACAACACTCTCCTTACACACAACCACCACAACACTCTCCTTACATACAACCACCACGACACTCTCCTTACATACAACCCCCACAATCTTCCACACCAGATACTACTAATGACATTGATAACATTTCTGATGCTGACCACTGTCTCAACGACAATGCAATAACTATACAATCTGAAAACAATGCATCTCAAATGTCAATTGCAGACCAGGATGACAGATTGGCACGGGCAGTTTCGGGTATTTACTAATAATAGAAAAAAATATTTGATGTTACCTACCACCATTTACCAATAAGTTGATTGCAAATATGTATGTAGAATTTAAAAATAAACCTACTTTAATAGAAAAAAAAATGTTTTTGATGTTACCTACCTTTATGTTGCATTGAGTTGGCTACGAGTTCATGAACTGTGAACGAGGGTATATGATTATAGGTTATTGATTTATGCATTTCGATTTCCCTTCATACTTGCTTCAGACTTAGGAATAACAATTAAAAAGACAAATATAAAATAATATGTATTTATTTCACTTTAAAAGGCGTATTTAAAAATCGATTGTATTTACAACAAAAATAAAAACAAAAAAAGGTTTAATGACCTTTTTTTGTTTTTATTCTTTTTGTATATTTGTTGAATTGAAAAAAGTTGCTGTGATACTTTTTACCATCATTTAAGTGGATCCGATTTTCTTGGTATTAAGTCTTCTTTTAAGTAGCCGTCTACTTCAATAATAGGGAATATGCATGTATTTTTTTTATTTTTTTAAACGATTCTACTAGTTATTACATTACCAAAAATAAATATAACACATCCGAAATATAAACCGTTAAGCAAAAAACATTATATTAAAATCACTATCATTTTGGGGCAATTTGAACACGTCCATTTTGGCGCGCTTTTTTTGTGACGTCAGATTACACTTTCAGACGAATTCGATGTCAACAACGGAGTGAAGTTCACAAAGTTTGCGAAAGTTAAAAAAGTGAGTGATAAAAATTAACTTATTACCATGGAAAAGCCAATAAAAACTTATTATAAACATTGTGCCGTTCCTTTGTGCCCAAATAATATCAAAACTGCACGTGACAAAGTATATTCAGTCATTGTGTTGAGTCTTTCTACACGGGAATTTAATAATTTAACACTCAAAACGTATTAGTTATTAACTTAAAATGAAACAAATACCAAATATTACAAATACACACAACTTGTTGACACTCTTGACAGTGTAGGTTGACGTCACGTTTTATTCAACCAATAGCGTTGCGTTTTAGAAATTTGCGAGGGAATCTTAAAAAAGCCAATTTTTGATGATTAAATTTCACTATTAAATTATAATAAATTTCAAAAATAATTGTATGGGTATCTTTTTTTAGCAATAAAAATTACAAATAAAAATATTTTGTCCATTTTGGTGTCACGTGCATATTCCCTATTGCTTCAGCAGCAGAATGAGGTACCGTTGAAAGTTACTTTTATTTACACTATTAACAAAATTACACTATTTAAAACTTAGTTTCTATTTACACAGCCTATTAACATCTATTAGATAATGTTCAGTATTTAAAACTTCTAATTAATATAATATTTAAAACTTAATATTCTAATTAAGTATAAAAATTAACAATGGCCGTAATAACAATTACTGAAATAAAAAAAAATCTCTGCTTCGTAGAGTAAGTTCTATATTTATTAGATTATGTACTATACAAACTTATACTTAAACTTAAAATGTATAATAATTACAAATACTAATTACGATGGACGTAATTACCTATTAGTAAAAACAATAATACTATAATGCGTAAGCTTAGTTTTCGAAACCTTTTGAAGTTCAGCCGGCCTACCATGACGTATTATTACACGGCTCAATTACAGAGCAATTCAATATAAGTGTCCTAAACTGAATGGTTATAATTCGTACCATGACGTGCTTAATACTGCATCGCATTTGAACCGCTACACTTATTGAAACTAGTGATCGCTGGTCTGCTTTTGATTGGCTTTGTGAGAAAGAGATCACGCTATACAAATTTTATATCTTGCATCTCTTTAACTCGTACGACTTCAATTGCGTTCCGAAACTTAAGCTCAGCAAATTACGGAAAGTATCGGTTTTTATAGAATTAAAAAACTTAGGCTGATCTGCAAAAATTTAAATGTAAATTAAAGTTTTAATGCCTCAGTTGATAAGCATATGCATTTAAGGCTTACTTTTTCAAGTTATATAACGTTTACCAAATGTTCATCGATTCTTTAGAACCATTGTGGTTTTAAAGCATGATGAACATTTGGTTTCTTTTGAACGTACCCGTCAACGTGTTAGACGCGGCTTTTATGAATAATTTTAAAGTAATAATAAAGTTTTCAGCGGATTTGAAGAATGTCAATGATAAAGTAAGTAACTTGTTTAACCATTTTTATTACATATTTCAGAACTACTTATGTATTTATAGTTGCTCTAAAATATATCATTAAATCGTCCCACTAACCACTTGAGTTCCTTGCCAGAAAATTGTTAAGTGCTTTTTATGTGTCAATGCAGTGAGACCTCTCGTCGAATAGTTACCTATGGCCAACTTGAGAATTTATGGGAGTTTTTGGACAAACATAAGGATTTGGCTACGGGTTATAATAAATCTTCACATGCGCGAGAATTTTCTCGCAGAATGTGGGAAGAAATAGCCCTAGCCTTAAACTATCATGGTAGCGGTGCAGTCAAGGATTGGAAAGGATGGTCCAAAGTATGTAATGCCATTATTGTTATGAATAAATACCCATACTTTGCATTGATGTCACACAGCATAGAATGTTAACCTTATAGTCAAAGAACATTCCTAATCGTCATCAAATCAGTTGCGGGAATGCAATGGCGGGAATTTAGCCTATTGTACCATGCAGGCCAGATGTGATGGTATAGGGTTTTAACACGTTTACTGCGTAACAAGCCGATATCGGCCTGCCGCGGTACCTGAACTGGTGCAGACGAAGAAAACTATGTCCCTCTCGCTTGTGCGAAACGATTATCTCAGGTGTTTGTAAAAATTCGACAGAGA